GTAGTCACGCTGAGCAGCTAGGTGTAACAGAACCCGAAGAGTAGTCATCTTCGGGGTCGAAGCGAAGGTCTGGAAGAAGTCCACCCCCTCACGCTGACTGAAGCCTCTAGCCACGTAGCGCGCCTTGAACACAGGCGGCTCTCCAGGAGGGCGCTTCACCTTGAAAAGCCAGCGGCCATCGACTACGTTCACCCCAGGCGGGGGAACTGCGTCGACGAAGGTGCCGGTGGATCTCCAAGATGCCATCTCCTGCTCCATGGCAGCTATCCACTGAGAGGCCCAAGGTCCCGAGGTCGCCTCAGCGTAAGTGCGAGGGGTCGGGATGTCGAAAGCGTCTGGGTCACCCTCAGGGACTAGCAGCATGGAACAGAGATGGGGAGCAGCCTCGGACAGGAAAGCAAGCTCGAACTGGCGGTCCTCCAGGACGTCACTGCCAAGGGCAGGAGCACCCCCGACAGACGGAGGACAGGCAGGGTCAGAGACCAGAGCGGTGGCGTAGTCAAGGCGGCAGGTAGAGGCGAAGTCAGCGACCGCAGCAACAAGAGCGTCAAAGCAGGAGACCGTATCAGACGGGTCGGTAACGAGAGAGGCAAGGACCCGAGGAACAAGAGGACGAGCGGCACGAAGGTAGTCAGACAGCGGGGGGGGTGCAACAACAAGGGAGGACGGAGGAGGCAACGGGAGAAGGGGAGGACGAGACGCGTGGGAACGAAGCAACATAGGGTGGGAGCGCAAGACAGGCGAGGCAGGACGAGCACGGGAGGGACGGTGAGACCAGACGTGCGACGGAGGAGTCGGGTCAGGAGACAGGGGAGGGGACACAGGAGGGGAACGAGGAGGAAGACGGGCCGGGGACGAGTCCGGCGGAGGGAACACAGGGCCGTAGACGGGAAGAGGAGGAGACGGTCGGAGAGGAACAGCCGCAGGGTCAGGGGACGGAAGGCCGAGCAGGCGAAGGGCTGACACCGGCGGGGACTGCTGCTGCGGCGGCACAACGGCGACACCGGGACTGCAAGCGGCTCCGCGGCTACCACCGGCACACTCCACACCAGCACCCCCAGAGGATCCACCCCCAGGGCGACCGGGACTAGCACCCCCAGAGTCAACGAACGGGTGCTGCGATGGCGGCGGCGGCGGCGGCAGCGAGAACGACGGCTGCAGCGGCGGCAGAGGCGGTGGAGGAGGGGACTGGGGAGGGGACGGCGGGGGAGGGGCGGCCGGCGAGGACTGCGCAGCAGGGCCACCAGAGTCAGAAGACTCCTCAACCGGGTCCACCGACGGAAGGGGGGTGACGTGGGACACACCAGAGGGGGCAGGATAGGGAGGAGGAGGGGGAGGGGCAGGGACTACCGGGGAAGGGGTGACCAGGAACAGGGGGGGGGTAACCGGGGGACCGCGGTGGGGGAAGCGACGGTAGTAGGAGACGGACTCGTCAAAGGTGACGTCGCGAGAGTGAAAGAAACGGTGAGACGGCGGGTGGTTAAAGTGCCAGTCGGACGCGTCAAGGGGAAAGCCGAGGAAGACGCAGGGAAGGGTGCGGGCAGTGAGCTTGTCCGTGCCGGAGGCACGGACGTGAGCAAGGCAGCCCCAGACGTGGAACGCAGACGCGTCACCAGGAGACCCAGTCCAAAGACGGGTCGGCGAAACCTGCGGCTGCTGAGGGTGCGGCCACAGGTTAAGCTGGTGAGAAGCGTAGCGCACAGCGAACGGCCACTGAAAATGGGGTGCACCGGCATGGATCATGGAGGTGCGAGCCACCTCCATGACCAAACCGATGCGTCGCTCAGCGACCCCATTCTGCTGTGGGGAGTCCGGTAGGGTAAACGTCTGGGTGATGCCCTCCGCACGACAAAAGCGACCAAGGACACCTGAGGCAAACTCGCCACCACGGTCGGAGTGAAGACGCAAGACAGGGAGACTGCGGTGGACACGCGCAGAGACAAGCCAGGGAATGAGAGCGCCAGGCACGTCGGCCTTGCGCTCCAGGGGAAAGACTGTGGTGTAGCGAGTAAAGTCGTCGACAAGCACAAGGAAGTAGCGCTCGCGACGCGGCCCAGAGACGGGGGCGGGGCCCCAGACGTCCAGGTGCAGGGTCTGCAGCGGCGTGGCGGTAGGGGGAAACGAGGAGGAGTGAGGGGCACGGCGAAGCCGACCCTCGACACAAGGCGTGCAAGGTGGGGCTGGGGAGGAGGGAAACGCGGGGAGAGAACCTGGGAGACCAAGGACAAGACCGTGCTGGGACATGTGACGCAGACGCAGGAGCGCAGGGTGACCTAGGCGGTGGTGCCAAAGGAGAGTCGGGTGAGTGAGGGACCGATAGGAGCAGGCAGCAGCAACCTGGGTAGACGCAGCCACCTGAGGGAGCGCTCCAGCCGGGGGGGTCACGGTGTCCAGAGTGAACAGGCCAGACACCGGGTCCCGGGGGAACGTGGACAGGGGGGCACTTGTGGCGGCCTCGGTACAGACAGCATACCGCTCGTGACCAGGGAACGTAGTGGTGACGCCAAGGTCCTGGAGGCAGCCGACACCAACTAGGTTCCTGGAGAACGAGGGGATATGCAGACCTGTGAGAGTGCCCGAAGGAACCGCCGGACAGGGAAGGGTGGTGGAACTGCGGGCGACTACCGGACCGTCGGAGGGGTCAGCAAGAGAAACGGCAGCAGGAACAGGAAGCGGCGTCAGTGTGGTGAAGTCGCGGAAGAAACACCGGGAAGCGCCAGAGTCCAAGGTGAAGGAAAGCGAAGCAGAGGCGTCTGGCGATGGAACGACGGCGGAAGCACCAAGACTACACAAAGCAGGGGATCCTACGCCTGACGCAGCAGGGGAGGCTAAGCTAGGCACACCTACACTAGCCGACAGTGAGTAATAAGCGGGAAGCACACTAGAGTCATCAGCATACATCACATGCAGAGCAGAAACAATGGCATCCATGTCCATGTCAAAAATCTGAATCTTACGACTAAGCAAACTGTGCCAGTCCGGGAGGTCTGGCGACGGGCCGAAGCGCTGACGAAACAGGTCGTCCAGGCGACGAAAACAGCGGGGAGTGGAGTGACCGATCTTACCGCAAACGAAGCCGCGGCGAGGACCGGTCTGGATCTGGTACTGACAACGCACGCCTCCAGAACCACCACTCGGCACACCACCACGCGCCCGACCACCGCCAGCGCCGGGCCACCCGGGCGGGAGGACGCTCGTCTGCCGCGTCTGCGGCGGCTGCTGCGAAGGCTGCGGCTGCTGCAATTGCGGCGGCTGCTGCGGCTGCTGCTGCTGCTGCGACTGCAGGGGCGGCGGCTCAGCTGGATTGGGCAGGGTCCCCTCGTCCGCTCCAGCACCAGACGACCCGACTCCACCACCACCCCCTCCCGCACCCCCGCCTCCTCCGCCGCGCCCAACCTTGGGGCGGCGGCCCTTCCCCGAACGAAACTGCGCTGCAGCAGCAGTCTCAGCCACAGCGGCAGAGCCGTCGGAGAAAGTACACTGAGCGGGGGCACAACCCTGAAAGATAGGGACCGGCACGGTACCGCTCGCCTGGGCGATGGAGCGGTGGCGGGTCTCAATCACAGTCAGGGTGTCTACAAAGTCAGTGAGGGTAAGGTATGCGGGGTGAATGCTAAGGAAGCGGTCGCGGGCGACAGCAAGGCGGTCAGGGAGGCGGGTGGCAAGCAGGTAGAGGGTAGAGGTAATGGGCGGCTGGTGGGCTCTAAGCTGTGCGTCAGTGCAGGCAGCGCGCCAGGTCTCATCTATCGAGCGCAGGTGGGCAGCGAGGTCAGAGACAGTGGGGAAAGACGCAAGGTCAGGAAAGAGCATCGGGAGGATCAGGCGACCCACCGAGGCAGCCGGAGGGGTGGAATAGCGCTTGATGACAGCATCTAAGTAAGCCTGGGCAGTAGTGAGGGACCTAAAGCGGGGGCGCTCGGACGGGGGAAGGGCATTGCTAATGGCAAGCTGAGCGACAGCATCTCGAGAAAGCCAGACAGAGCGCGCACGGGCAGTGGCGGCAGTAGACTCGCGCTCAGTGGGTGCGGAGTCAGCGGGCAGAACAGCAGGGGGGTCTGGGCAGGGGAGCGTACCGTCAAGGTGTGCGGAAAGCGGTTCACCATCCTGCCGCTGGCCAGTGAGTTGGCGCCGGAGGTCGGCAAGCCACACCTCGAACTCCAGAGGCTGGCCTTCAACGTTGAAGCGAAGCTCCGCCGCCATCAGGGGCAGTGCAGGACTGTACAGTGCGGTGCAATGCGGTGCAGTGCAGAGCAGGGCAGTGCAGTGCGGTGCAGGGCGGTGCAAGGCGAGGCAGTGCGATGCAGGGCAGTGCAGGGCGGTGCTGCGCGGTGCAGTGCGGTGCAGCGTAGTGCAATGCGATGCGGTGCGGTGCAGTGCGGTACAGTGCGGTGAAAGGTGGTGGAGAACCGTACCAGGGAGAGTGCATATCGGACGGTCGTAGGGCCGGCGAGGAAGGGCCGGAAGTCGACGTGGGGCCGGCCGGGACAAGCGCGGGAGCCGGCTCGGACGGGCGCGGGACCGGCAGGGACGGGCGCGGGGCCGGCTGGAACGGGCGCGGGGCCGGCTGGGACAGACGCGGGGCCGGCTGGGACGGGTGCAGGGGCGGCCTGGACGGGCACGAGGGGCCGGCTGGGACGGTCGCGGGGCTGGCTGGAACAGGTGCAGGGCCGGCTGGGAGGGGCACGGGGCCGGCTGGGACGGGCGCGGGGCCGGCTGGGACGGTCGCGGGGCCGGCTGGGACGGTCGCGGGGCCGGCTGGGACGGTCGCGGGGCCGGCTGGGACGGTCGCGCGACCCTATACAGTCTATACAAACATGAGTTATGCTTATGTTTGACACTCTGATAGTGAAAAGCGCATCAGACAAAGTGCGCAAACATTGTCTGATTCCTCAGACACTTTTTTTTCCAAAAGAGAACCCTGGTTAGGATGGTAGGGCAGCCATGAAATGAAGAGGGGTTTTGGAGGTCGAGAGCTAGGAGAGCAAGTTTGACGAGAGAAAAACGGGTAGGAACTAGAAAGAGTGAGGGATACAAGGAGGGGATTGTACCCTCTCCAGTATAGTTCGTAACCTACCAAGCCTAACAATTATATTACACAATATAGAATTTAACAAGCGAGGCTCGATAAGGAAAAGGGATTTTCCTTGCACGCGTCTTGAGTCTTCATGAGCAATGACACGTCAAAATGGTAAAAACCCCCTCCGTGTCCAACCATCACTGTAGAAATGCCGAGAAGCAGGGCTCTGGCTAAAATTGCAATTACTCTAATGTATCTGGTAATATTCTCCAGCTCCTGTGTCTAGCGAGAGCCCTGCCGAAAAGTATCGTAAAAAGGGCAACTCGACAGTACGATAACACTAAAGCGTAATCCCTACAGTTTCAAAGCGTAATAACAACACATCAATGCTTCATTAACTCATTACCATGACACCCGAATCCCTCCGTCCCTGCCAGCTTCCGCGCCTCGGCCACTCTCATCACCAGCGTCGCCCTCCCCAACCACCTCCAACTCCTCTTTGCGCCCAAACAACTTCTCATGAGCAGTCTCCTGGGGAATGCCTTCACTTTCATCCTCAACCGCCCTCTTCTCCAAAGCCTCGAGGAACTCCATAGTGAGGACATCCGGCCAAGGGGCGCCAAAGGGAGCCTCGGGACCCGCCACCCACCCCAGATGGCCACCGTGGGATGTACCCACAAGCATGGTGAATGGGTTCTCCTGAGGGGCGAGAGACGAGGGTGAAAGAATGGTTTGTGGGACGAGGAGAAGAGCCTCGGGACTGGCTAAATGAGCCAGACGGCCACCACGGAATGTACCCAAAAGCATGATGAAGGGGGTTTTCTGAGGTATGAGGACACACAGGGTGTAGAGATGGAGTGGATTGTGATTGGCCAAAACAAAGAGGGCACAAACTCACAGAGAGCATAGAGAGTACACAGGGAGCACACAAGAGTTGTCACTGCACGAAATTCTAGCACATTTTGCTCTGCACTTGATGTAACTGCCCAACTCACCTCAGCCACTGTACTGTATGCATCAAATCACATGTATGGAAAGCAGTGTTAGGATGACTCCATGCACCTCCATTCAATGGTATTGCTCGGAAAGGCATGACGACTCCCTCCACGTGATTGTATGAAAGAATATAGCCCCTCACAACAGTGTAAGCACAACAGTGTAAGCAAACTCATGCAATCACGCCCAAACACATGCGATCACGCCCAAACACATGCAATCACACCCAAACACATGCAATCACACCCAAACACAAGCAAACACATGCAAACACATGCAATCACACGCAATCACATGCAATCACACGCAAACACATGCAATCACATGCAAACACATGCAATCACACCCAAACACATGCAATCACACCCAAACACATGCAATCACATGCAAACACATGCAATCACATGCAATCACACCCAAACACATGCAATCACATGCAAACACATGCAATCACATGCAATCACATGCAAACACACGCAATCACACCCAAACACATGCAATCACATGCAAACACAGGCAATCACACCCAAACACATGCAATCACACCCAAACACATTCAAACACATGCAAACACATGCTCTCACACGCAAACACATCACTCTCAGTGTCAGTATAAAAAAGCAAAACACATTACCTCGATTTCACTATAAGGAATGCCGTCTGCAGGCGCAATAGGATCATCCAAGGCCTGATTAAGGGGAAGGCGCAAACAGAACAGTGGGGCCATTTGAGGCCGCCATGGACACACAAGGGGGAAGCAAGCGGAATGGGAAGGGAAGCAGAGGAAGCAGGAGGGGAAGCAGTGGAGACGGGGAAGAACAGGAAATCAGAATGGACACAATGAGGGGGACACAACAGGTGAGAGGGGAACAAGGGAAGTGAGAGACAGCCAGGAGACAAGAAGCAACAGGTCGCCTTCTCTGGTTGCTAAGGGAAGGGGAGATGGCAGAAGACAAATGAAGTGGTTCTATGGGCGTTTGGAAGAGAGAATAGAGCAGCGAGAAACAGAAACACAGCTGTTGCACCGAGCTGCCTTGTCAGGCTCTCTGTTATCGACATGCCTGATGTTTGTTTCCTTCTGCTGCCAGTTAGCAGGTCAGGGTGATTCCTCACAACGTGCAAGGCTTGTGGGGTAGAAGAATAACCAATATCGAAACGTGGGGTTGTGTTTGAAGACCAGCGAAACACGATGAGGTTAACTTGCCGTGCTCCGTGCAGTCGACATAAAGAAGAACCAATTCCTCCCTGACAGACTCAACTGATGTTATAAACTAGACAACCACAAGTTGAGCAAGGCACTGGAATTGCTGCTGCTGAAGGCACCTCAGCACCATGGGACACATCCATTCCCGACATTCCCGCAATCACTGTTGCTACACCACAGTGCAAATCCTGTGCCGCAACGATGATTGCAGGAGCATCAGCCAGACATGTCACATAATGCGGCTCTGACCTCAGTAGCAACAATTTCAGTGCCCTACTCAACCTATTCCGTTCTCCCCTCCCCCCCCCCCCTCTCTGTGTGTCTCCGAAAACAGAGAAGATACAAAGGAAGGAATGGGAAAGGGGAGGAAGAGACGGTGAACAGGGGAAGGGCACCAGCGTCTGTTTGCCCTTGCGATGACCTCTTTTGATTGCAAGGGGTTGAGAGGAGAGAGGTGGCCCCTGTGACTGAAAGAGTGTTATGGAACGGACAACATCATCTCCTGGTTGCCAATAGAGCTATGAGCATTGAGCATCTCACCTGAACGCACAGCAGAGGTAGGCGGACGTTTGGTATGCTGCGGCAGCTGCTGGCGTCGTAGTAATAGGCGTCCACTGAGGGGTAGCCGAACGAGACTGGGGACGTGAGAGAGGAGCAAAAGGGTTCGGTTTTGGGTTGGGGCGCCTGAAACTCAGGTGCTGGCGCTGCAGCAATAAGCGTCCACTGATGGGTAGCCTAGTGACACTGGGGAGGAGAGGGAGGAGAGGGAGGAGAGGGAAGAGAGGGAGGAGAGGGTAAACCCCCCTAGTGAACCCCACTATTCCACCCACCTCTCGTGACCCCCTCCCACTCCCAGAGTTCCTACTACCCCTTCCGCTCTCCCCCCACTACCTTACCTTCACTCCACCCACCTCTCCACCCCCCAGTGTCAAAGTCTCACACGGCCTTGGCTCTCGCCACCTGCACTACGCCATACCCCAACCCCCCCCTTCCCACCGCTACTCAGAACCTCCACTCCGCCCCTCTTCTCAGCACCTCTACTCCGCCCCTCCATTCCACCCACCATTAGTGAGCCCAACGTCATCGTCCCGTCTTGGCTCTCCCCACAGCAGCTGTATGCCACACTGATTTCTCCCCTCTCCTACCTTCCACCCCCCACCTCAGTGTGCCCAACGTCAAAGTCACGCACAGTCTTGGCTCGTGCAATGAGCTCTTGGCACCATCCTGGCCCAAACCCCCCCCCCCCTCTCATCAACTCCTCTCACCCAACTCAAACCGCATGCACCACTTCATCGCCCCTCCCATCAGCCCACCTCTCATGAGCCCACCTCTCGTGAGCCCACCTCTCGTGAGCCCACCTCTCGTGAGCCCAAAGTCAAAGCCGCGCACGGTCTTGGCTCGTGCAACGAGCTCGATGCCATGTACCATACTCCACCCACTCACCTCCCACCTCATAGTGCAATGCGGCATGCCCTTGCTTCCCCTTCGACAGCCCACCCCACATGCAACGAGCCATGCACCGCACCCCCCCCCCCCTCCCCCCACCCACCTCTCGTGAGCCCAACGTCAAAGTCGCGGACGGTCTTGGCTCGTGCAACGAGCTCGATGTCATACTCGCCCCCCAGACCCTCAAACAGAGACGCATGGCTGGAGCGAGGGGAGGGAGGGAGGGAGGGAAGAGCAGAAAGGAAGAGGACTGGTGGGCTGGGCACAGGAGCTGAAACTTCTCCCCACCCCACCGGCTCATGTCATACTCGCCCCTCACACCCTCGCACAGGGACGCATGGTTGCGGAGAGTGAGGAGGAGGGGAAGGAGGGGAGAAATGGGAGAGGAGGGAGAGAGGGGAAGCCTTTGATAGATAAAGTTGTAAAAGCCATAGTGACTTAGGAGAGGAAGCAACTTCTGCCAGAACCAGGGTAACTGGATTCTGTGCTTGGCTCAAAAAGTCACAGCAAAACACATGGGTGCACAGCACGTACCCGGCGTAGATGCCCCTGAGTGTTGATCCCAGCCGTTGATCGTAGAAGTTGTTGAATCCGATGTGGAAGTTCTTGTCAGCCAGCACGAGGTCGAAGGGGTTGCAGAGAGACACCGCCCCTGCCAGAGGCACCTCCTCGCCCTCCTGCCATGGGCAGTGATGGACGCATGCAGGTGCGAGTGGGACAGGGCGGCAGGGGACGTGGCAAGATGGCAGGTTCGGAAAGGTGCGCAGTGGATGGATGAAGAGCGCCAATGTGCATGTGTATGGGGGTGGGGATGTGAATGGGGGTGGGGATGGGGATTGGTGGGGATGGGTGGGGATGGGTGGGGATGGGTGGGATGGGGGACCCTTAGGTCCTTCGGCCCGGGCTGCTAGGACTCACCTGAGTGGTTGTCCACCTGCCTTGACTGTACTCTTCTTTTATGTCGTACAAAGGACCAATTGAAGAAGCTCGGCAGGCAGCGGACAAGCGTGGGTGGCACGGAGCGGAATGGATGTATCAAGTAACATCGAAAGGATCGAAGCGTGCCAGGAATGGATCGAAGGGGTATGTGAGACAAGGCGGATGTAATGGGGCCACATCAAGACGCGTGCCAGGTAACACCCTCACCTGATGAACCAGGTAGCACCCTCACCTGATGAGCCAGGTAACACCCTCACCTGATGAACCAGGTAGCACCCTCACCTGATGAACCAGGTAGCACCCTCACCTGATGAGCCAGGTAACACCCTCACCTGATGAACCAGGTAGCACCCTCACCTGATGAGCCAGGTAACACCCTCACCTGATGAACCAGGCAGCACCCTCACCTGATGAGCCAGGTAACACCCTCACCTGATGAACCAGGTAGCACCCTCACCTGATGAACCAGGTAGCACCCTCACCTGATGAGCCAGGTAACACCCTCACCTGATGAGCCAGGTAGCACCCTCACCTGATGAACCAGGTAACACCCTCACCTGATGAACCAGGTAGCACCCTCACCTGATGAGCCAGGTAACACCCTCACCTGATGAACCAGGTAGCACCCTCACCTGATGAGCCAGGTAACACCCTCACCTGATGAACCAGGTAGCACCCTCACCTGATGAACCAGGTAGCACCCTCACCTGATGAGCCAGGTAGCACCCTCACCTGATGAACCAGGTAACACCCTCACCTGAGCCAAGTATCGCACAAGTATGTTGGCCCCCAGTGACCAGCCCGCAGCATAGAGGCGGGCGAGCGGCTGCAGTGCTGCCACGTGGCGCACCACCTGCCTTAGATCCTCCGTGAACGAGGCCGAGTAGAACTGGAGGGAGAGACAGAGGGTGCAGTGGAGGGGCAGACGGAGCACCTGAGGCTGGGGGAATCGCAACGCCACTTGCCCCGTGGTGCCGCGTGCACCACTTGCCTTAGATCCTCCGTTAATGACGCTGCGTCGAACTGGAGGGAGAAACCACGCGGAGACTAGGACGGGGAAGGTTGAAGGGGGGGAGAAGGCAGAAGGATAAGAAGGACGTGGCAAGGAGGGGAGCAGGGCAGGAGAGAGAAGAGCTTTGCGAGCTGGCAGGGAGGCGACTCGGTTGGATCAGCGAGGAATGGAGAGCATAATGTGGCACTAGGAAAGCTTGGCAATGACGGAGTGGTAACCAGAGTAATATTCAACACTACCTGAGGAGTGATAACCAGAGTAACCCAACCACTCCCCACCCCGCCTTTCTGGCTCGCTCCAGCAGAGTGGTAACGATCGTTGAGGCACCTCACAAATCACACCAGCAGGGTGGTTGCGTAATGCAGCAACCTAGGAAACTGTGACCAGCGTAGCTTACGACACTACCTGCGGCGACGTGACAGGGCTGTTGGCGCACCCCCTGGAGTTGAACACCACCGCTCCCCACCCCGCCCTCCTGGCCCGCACCAGCATGTGGCGCACATAGGTGTCGTCACTGCCGCCTGTCAGCCCGGGCTGGTGGTGCATAGGAAGAGTGGGAGAGAGCAGTCATGGTGGGAGAGAGCAGTCATGGTGGGAGAGAGCAGTCATGGTGGGAGAGAGCAGTCATGGTGGGAGAGAGCAGTCATGGTGGGAGAGAGCAGTCATGGTGGGGGGGAGTGATGAGAGGAGAGCATCCATGGCACCGACATGTGCCGCACAGTTGTCTCCACTGCCACCTGTCAGCCTGGGCTGCAAGACAGACAGCATGAGCATACGAGAAAGAGAGCATGAGACGTGATGACATGAGATCTCCATGGCACCCACATGTGCCGCACATAGGTGTTGTGTCGCCGCTGGCGCCTCTCAGCCTGCGCAGAGAGGCGGCATGGTGGGCGAGGGGGAGGGGATGAGCGCATGCTTGCCACCTGCATGTACCGCACACTCGTGTCTCCGCTACTGCCTGGCAGGTTGGGATGGGTGCGGTGCGGTGAGATATTGAATGAAGAGGAGACAGAAGGCAAGGGCTTAGGGAACAACTAGGAGCAAGTGATAGTGGGTGGCAGCAGCGTGTGGCAGCAGCATGTGCCGCGCACACATGCCTCCGCTGCCGCCTGTTAGCCCGGGCTGGCGGGCGGAAGGTAGACAGGACATGTGGGCTGCCAGGTCACCACAGGAAACAGCTGGAAACTACTCACCAGTAAAATTAGCCAGGCGTGCCAGGTGGCACCTCGCAATTGGCAGCAGTACCTTCCAGTGCCTCCTACAGTGCTGACGTCAGCCATTCTCAGACAGTCACTTCTGAAGCGCAGGCATGTCTACTACAGTGACAGTGCATTACCGTGCTACATGGCGTGTGAGTGACGAGGTCCATAAATATTGGAAACGACAGCAAACAGTCGGAAGCCACTCACCAGTAGGATGAGCCAGGGGGTGCCAGTTAGCACCTCGCCATTCGCTGTCGTCCCCTCTAATGCCTCTCCCCCCACTGGCCTCTCCCCCCACTGGCCTCTCCCCCCACTGGCCTCTCCCCCCACTGGCCTCTCCCCCCACTGGCCTCTCCCCCCACTGGCCAGTCCAAAGCTTCGTTGCCACCATCAGCCATTCTCAGACACTCCCTTCTGAGACGCACTGCATTCCTACAAAAGATCACTGGAATCTAGTGTGCACCTCCTTTTGAGTTACAGGGTACAACCAACGGATAACAATCAACAACGGCTCACCAGTAGAATGAGCCAGGGAGTGCCAGGTGGCACCTCGCCATTGGCAGTCGTCCCCTCTAGTGCCTCTCCCCCCACTGGCCAGTCAAGAGCAACAGTGCCGCCATCAGCCATTCTCAGGCACTCCCTTCTGAACCGCACTGCGGGCAGGGAGCGAGCCACGGCTGCAAAGATGGTCTCCACGTGGCAGTTCGCCAGTGGTCCGAAGAAGGGTCTGTGCTGGAAAGTAAGAAACGGATTGGAGGAGGTTTCTGATGTCAAATTCAGTTACGAGTTACAACTCGCACTTTACAAGTTTTATGAGAAGGTTGCACAGATAAGTTCGAGCTTCAAAGATTTCCCTGCATTTCTATTGGTGCACCAACCCTCCTGCAACTATCTCCAGACTGTTACAACAACCACTCGTTTCTGTCGCCTCCTAGGTAACTGTAGCGAGTTCTACACCCGCCTTACCGCAATCACCTGTAAGGTTCTTGTAACGAGGGAAGCTGCCACGTCAGCTTTTGATGCACCTCTCCGTTCCCCCCAACCAGTGTAAGCCCTTCCGGACTCCGCTTAGGCTTCCCACTTCCGGGATTCCCGCCGCCATTCCCGCTAGCAACAGCAGCACCATCGTTCGCAGCAGCACCGCTTCTCGCGGCCGCTCTTACAGCGCGAGTGCCGGCGGCAATCCCGCCAGTGGCGTTCCTCCTGCTGTCGATTAATCTCCGCCCGGTTCTAACGGCAAGATACGTCATAAGCGCGCCGATTCCGACGGCCAGACCCAACCCGCTGGTGAAGGCGACACGGCCGAGTCCCCCTAGGGATGCCGTAGGAGGACAAGTCGGATTCAACGCACGTGCGGTCTCGCGGGGGACACTATTACCGCACGTGCGTGAAAAGTCGGTGGTTCGCGTCGCGTGGACGGACCCGAGGGAGGATGACCACGTGGAGCCTAGGAGACGGCTGATTGGCTGAGATCGGCGGGGGGGACTCGCCGTGTGATTGTAGCGAGCTGCGACTGATCGGATCGCCATTGGTCGTCCCGTTGTGTGACGGGTGCACGGCTCGGCGACGGTCGCCTTTCCTCCGCGATCCGCGGCGTGAATCGCGCGGGCCGTCGAGAAGCCAGGCGACGAGCATGCGTGACGAACGCACAACGCCATGGCGACAAAGGCGACGATGGCGACACGATGGCGACGATGGCGACGAATCGGGATCGCTACTAAAACCTGCCTGGATACCAAACGGCCGCGCTCTGCGACAGCTGCGACGCGTGATCGCTCGTCGCAGAATCGCAGACGAAGCAGGCTCTTAACTGGTGGCTCTCAGGACAAAGGGTACCGTTGCGTGCGGACTCTGGTCAACGGAGTGGCGTCTTGTGGGATTCTCTTCAATCCACGAAATCGGGGACCAGGATTTGGCTGGGGAACTCCCGTCAGGGCGTGGTACACACAATCACGAACGGAGCACGGTTCGAACGGTCAGAACGGTACAGAAATCTAGAGAACGGTTTTGGCGTGTTCCAGCTAGATAATCACATGGCGTAGTGTGGTCGAGTCACGTGATCGGAAAGTCGTGATCGTTTGCACCACGCCCTCAGATTCTCTTCTTCCTGTCAGAAGAACTCCGTTATAATGCCAGCTGATTGTGCTCCGTGCTGAGACGCATTGCTCACTTTCATATTGCCTACTATAACGCAGAACGTCAGTGAACATTGATTTTTCACATATATAAATACCGGTAGGCATCTGACCACTTTTGGAAGCATAGCCGATCGACAGGACGATCCGATTGACTCTGTATGGCAACCAATCAGCTTGAATCCGGTGGTGTTGATTCGAGGCACACGTCGAACCACGGATGCTCTGCAAACAAGTCGCGGGTGTCAATGGGCAGTTGGGAAGGAGGGAGGCACAAAGACGGGCAAGAGTGGGGAAGGAGTTGCCTTTTGAGCCGCCTCAAAAGTCACGTCAAACAAGACGCAGGCGCCAAAGAACAGTTGGTGCGAGGGGAAACACTGAGATGAGCCAGATGTGTGGAGCGCGCCCAGTTGTATTTTGAATCGACTCAAAATACACCTGGACAAGCTGACACACGGTTTATTCTCCGGCCGACGTGCATTGATTGCATGGAAGCTGCCAAAGAGGATTCTCCGGCCGACGTGCATTGATTGCATGGAAGCTGCCAAAGAGGATTCTCCGGCCGACGTGCATTGATTGCATGGAAGCTGCCAAAGAGGATTCTCCGGCCGACGTGCATTGATTGCATGGAAGCTGCCAAAGTGGATTCTCCGGCCGACGTGCATTGATTGCATGGAAGCTGCCAAAGTGGATTCTCCGGCCGACGTGCATTGATTGCATGGACAGTGGGGGAGACACGAAGGAAAAGGAAGGGCACACACACAGCCTGTTCCCCATCCGCCAGGCCCCTCATGCCCTCACATGCCCGACACATGACACATGGTACTTGGCAGTTGGCACATGACACGTGGCACTCCTAATGCTCGCATACCGTACCTCGTCTACTGTATCCTATCCAACTATACCCGCCTAAAGCCTCCTGTGCCGAGCGGAGCGGAGACCCTCCTCTTCTGCACCTGCATGCCCCCATGACCCCTGGCATGCCTCACACACCTAAGCCCCCCATGACCCCTGGCATGCCTCACACACCTAAGCCCCCCATGACCCCTGGCATGCCTCACACACCTAAGCCCCCCATGACCCCTGGCATGCCTCACAACCCTAAGCCCCCCATGACCCCTGGCATGCCTCACAACCCTAAGCCACACGTACCTTATCCAAAAGTGCACTGGACCCACCAAGTGCATCGTGTGCTGAAACCCTCTTCTGATCACAACCCCCCATCCACATGGGGAATAATCCGAATGCGCCCATGCCCCCTCACATGCCCCGCACCCACCCCTAAAGCCCACGTGCATTATCCACCTGTACCCCAGGTGACTTTTGAGTCGGCTCAAAAGTCGCCTCATCATCCAACTGTACCCCATACTCTGTGCCCAAACCCTCCTCCTCTGATCTGATCCAGCGTCCGCAGAATCAAATCTTTCCCCTCCTCCGGCACCCGTGCACATGCAGAAGGGGAATGGGACACGCGGGAACCAATCAGAATGCACTCGCACGCCCCCATTACCCCTCACCTCCCTGGCGCCCCTAAACCCCACATACATTAACAACTGCACCCTGCACCCACCTAATGCCTCCTGCGCCGAGACCCTCCTCTTTTGATCGCGATCCAGCATCCGCAGAATCAAATCCTTCCCCTCGTCTGACACGCCTCTCCACACCGACCCCTTAAAGCCCACCTCCTCCTCCTTAATCGCCTTGGCAACCCCTGCCTCCGTCTCGGCCCAGAACGGCGGCACGCCAGCCAGCAGCACGTACAAGACAACACCCGCCGACCACACATCAGCTGGGGTACCGTACGAGCCGGCAATCACCTCCGGAGCAATGTAAAACAGGCTCCCAACGGCATCACTCAGCGGCTTAGACCCGGGCTTGTGAAACGCGGCCACCCCGAAGTCAATCACGCGGATGTCGGTGTGTGAATTGGGCGACACGAGGAGGATGTTCTCGGGCTTGACGTCGCGGTGCAGCACGTGGTGGCGGTGGTGGGCGAAATGCAGCACGTCCAGCAGCACGTGCATCACTCTCGCCGCCTCCCTCTCACCGTACCGCCGCCGCTCCTTTATGCGGTCAAACAGCTCGCCCCCGGAGCAGAGCTCCATGACGAGGTGGATGGCCTGGGGGGACTCTATGGCCTCCTCTAGTCGGATCACGTTGGGATGCGCTTTAAGCAGCTCCAGTATTGCCACCTCACGCCGCACGTTCTCCACGTCCGACTTGGACTGGTTTGGGGAGGAGGCAGGGCATGGGACGGCAGTGGTGGCATAGAAGAGAGAAGGACAGGGCAATGGGCACTAGGCACACGTGTAAAATATCGAGCACCGTTCTTGAAAAGCCCAGGCATGACGCACACAGTGAGACCACGGGCACGAGTCACAAAGCAAGGGGGGGGAGGGGGGAGATCGGACAGTGTGACTTGGAACCAGAGAATAGGGAAGGGATTGTTCCATTGAAAGAGGCAACTGACCAGAGAGACATGGAAGAGAGGGGGACTAGACAAGCAAACGGAACAGAAGCCACCTGTCGTTAAGCACCTCAGAACACACCTTAAGTGCTACTGAACTGCAGCTTCAATGCTACTGAGACGCACCTTGAGTGCTACTGACACGCACCTTGAGTGCTACTGACACGCACCTTGAGTGCTACTGACGCGCACCTTGAGTGCTACTGACACGCACCTTGAGTGCTACTGACGCGCACCTTGAGTGCTACTGACGCGCACCTTGAGTGCTACTGACGCGCACCTTGAGTGCTACTGACATGCACCTTGAGTGCTACTGACACGCACCTTGACTGCTACTGACACGCACCTTGAGTGCTACTGACGCGCACCTTGAGTGCTACTGACGCGCACCTTGAGTGCTACTGACGCGCACCTTGAGTGCTACTGACACGCACCTTGAGTGCTACTGACTGACGTGCACCTTGAGTGCTACTGACTGACGCGCACCTTGAGTGCTACTGACACGCACCTTGAGTGCTACTGACGCGCACCTTGAGTGCTACTGACACGCACCTTGAGTGCTACTGACTGACGCGCACCTTGAGTGCTACTGACTGACGCGCACCTTGAGTGCAGCCTTGTTTATGGTCTTGCAAGCCAGCCTCCTCCCTGTGCTCCTGCAATTCACCACCCGAGTCACGCCAAACTGGCCCGCCCCCAGCTCCCTCCCCCGCTCCACCTCATACCTCCCCTCCACGTCCTCAAACTCCCCTCCCAACACATTCGCCCCCACTCCAACCATCCCCCCCACGCCAACCCCAGCAGCAGCAGCGGCGCCGGCAGCAGCAACCATTTTGGAGAAGCTGGAGAGGCCTTTGAAGGCGAGGTTGACGAATCGACTCCGGCTGGACTTGAAAAAGAGCGACCGCACTTCCTCCCACCGCCCACTCTCATCTGCTTCTGCCTCGCCACTGGCTGCAGCAACAGCCGCAGCAGCAGCAGCAGCAGCAGCAGTACCAGTACCAGCACCAGCAGCGCCGCTGCTACCACTGGCACTGGCAGCCGATACACCCTTGCGCTCCAAAGAACCTTCCCGGAGCTGGCTCCCACTCTTTCCTCTCTCCTCTGCTCCTGTTGAGCCCGTCTCTCCCTGCAACGCCCAGCTAGCAGCCCTCCTGTGACCGCCCCTGCCTGCAGCATGTCCGCCTCCCCCAGGTCCGCCTCCCCCAGGTCCCGCCTTCTCTGCAGCACTACTCGCCTGATTTACCATCCCGGGTCTAGGCCCCCCTCTTGCCTTGCCTTCGCCCGCAGCTGCTGTGTTGCCCTGGCTGCGTGCTGCTGCTTCGGTGCTGCGACTCACACCTCCCGGAGTGAAGTCTGTTGACTTGCTATGCGACCGATGCCGAGATCGTTCCCCTCGATTCCATTCCTCTCCCGCTCCTCTTGCCTCTCTCCCCTCTCCACCTCCCCCTCTGCTTCCCCCTCCCCCACTACCCCGTCCCCCAATCCTGCCTTCCACAGTCTTGGCTCGGCTCACCCGAACGTGACCCCCACCAGGCGACTCCCCAGCCTCGGCAGAGCAGGCTCGGGCCGGAGCTCCAGGCCGGGCCTCTAGGCTCCGCGCCCTGCTCACAACACCCTCCTCCCAGCCTGGAGATCGCTCAGGCTCGGCAGCACCGTTGACCTGGGCCGAACCGTCTGCTTCGGCGGAGCTCCTGCTTTTGGGGAAGGCGTGCCGAGCCTTGGCGGCAGGTACGGGTGAGTGCAGGTGGGGGGAAGGAAAGCCAGGGGAGAGACGCGGGAGGGAATCGTTTCTTCTGGTCAACGGTGGGGCGGGTAGGGTTGGCGGCGCACCATGCGGATTCCCAGCGTCGTGCGAGGGAGAGCGAGGGAAGGGAGAGCGCCGAGAGGGAGTGTGGGGAGAGGGAGAGTGAGGAGAAGGGGAGTAAAGAGAGGGGGAGTGAGGGCTGTTGTGCAGGGCAAGTTGGCTTGGGAGCGTGTGCGGCGACAGTGTAAGGCTGGGCGGCAGCGGGCCGCCGACCCCAGAAGCAGTGTGGGGGGATGACGCATGAGGGAGCGGCGCTGCATCGTCCGGTAGATCTGCCAGGCTTATCTCGCGATCCCAACCCTTCGCTACAGCCGTCCTCGCTACATCGGCCTGCGTCGTCGCTACAGAAGAATCATACAGGTCGACCTCCCAGTCATTCCCGAACTCGAGCCCGCTACCGTCACTACCCCCTCTCCTCCTCTCTGTCCGTCTCTCCAAACCTTCTCGATCCCAGTCATCTCCTACTAGACCCCTCTCATCCCAGTCATCTCCTACTAGACCCCTCTCATCCCACTCATCTCCTCCGCTACTTGATTCCACCGTATCGCCTCTCCTACTAGTGAGATCATTCCCGCCGGGAATCGCGCTGCTCCGGTCCGCCTTTCCAGCAAACCCGGGCGGGTTAAAAACTCCCATATCCGGAAACGACACCGATTTCTTCACATGCCCGCTTTTCTGCCCGAACTGTTCGCCCGGCTGCCCGTGGAATCTTTGCTGCTGCCCGTGCGGATTCCGCGCGACACTACCTCCCGCTGACGACGAGAGCTGCCCGCCTTTGGGGGATCTTTTCACTTCCTCGCGCGGGGATGCTGCGCCCCAGCCCGAGGTCGCCGCGGCGGGGGATTTGGGCGGAAGGAACGACGCGGAAGGGGGAGGCGCTCCAGGCGCGCTTCCGCCATTGGCAAAAGCTCCAAACGAGCGCGTTTCAGCCAGGGAGGTCGACTTGGAAGACTTTGAGCCGGCAGATCGTGCTGCCGCGAATGCCGGCGCCGATCGCGGGCTCCGCTCTGCCGCCGCGGCGCCTTGCGACCTGGACGAGCCGCCTATCGTTGTCGCGACTGTTAAAACGTTACATTCCGTCGCGTCGTCGATCTGTAACATCACTAGGCGATGCGACGACAGCAGCGGCGACGTTTCGCCCTTTTTCGCTCTCAAACACTCCCGCTTGGTGGGAGGTTGTGGCAGTGGCAGTTCGGCTGTAGCATCCTGCTGCAGCAGATGCTGCTGTAGCGTCTGCTCCCACGAGGGCGCACTCGCGACAATCGCTGCCGCCCGGTTCTTCAGCTGCTGACGCCGCTCCTCCTCCCGCTGTCTCCGCTCTTCCGCCTCCCGCCATTCCTGCTCCCGCAACTCTTGCTCCCGCCGTTCTTCTTCCCGTCGCTCTCGCTCCGCGCGAATTTCCCACGCGCCTGGAATCCCAGCGGTCGCGATGATCACCGCCGCCCGGGTTACCAGCTCCTGCTGTCGCCGCTCTTCGTTCCGCTGCCTCTCCGCCAGCTCTATACGCGCCTTCTCCCGCCGCTCCGCCTCGTCCCTCCGCGCGCGGATCTCGTGCGCCGTCGGCTGGTGGAGCCGCTCCATCAGCTCCCGTGCTTTCGCGCTCCGCTGCGCCGCCGCCGCCGCCGCCGATTCCGCTGCCTCAGCCGCGGCAGAGACCTCGGCAGCAGCGGGAGCGACCAGCGTAGGCGTAGTTGGTGCCGCCGCGGAAGCTGCGGTCGCCGCCACTGCCGCCGCCACTCTTGCGCCGAGATCCGCTCCGCCGGCGAATCCCCCTGAAGGGCGTGCGCCGGAGGCGCGCTCATAGCTTCGAGCTGTTGGGGGGGAAGATTTTCCGCCGGATCCCGAAGAGGATGAGCGGGGAAAGGAAGCATGGCGGACGTGGGTTGGCGGACGGAGCCCGGCGGAGGCGGGGGGTTGGGGGATTGCGCCCGAGGATGGCGCGGGGCCCGGGGCTCCGCAGATTCCCGCGAATTGCGCGCCGCCGTGGCGCAGCTGCGAGGGCGTTCGCGCGGGGCGGCGATCAATCGCTGACTGCATGATCCGGTTCCAGACTTTCGGAGACTTTCGCAGAGGCGAATGGACGAGTCTGGCGGCGCGCCGGTGAAGCAATTACAGCACGCTTTCGTGACAGTCTCACGGGTACGCCGCTTAGATTGAAACTAGGAAGGACTAGAATCATGATCTTGAAATGGTTGAGCAGAACGAATTCAGTGCAACATGCTTCTGTGTTGTAATGTAGCATGCACTGGTCAGTGCGAACGCATGCCCCATCCCATGCAGACAGCACAAACCCCGTGTTTCGCGTACATTGGCAGGACGGGCAGCCATGGCGGGGCGAGTCACGAACGAATCTTTTTGTGCTTTGTGGCAACAGGTCAAAGCAGACCAACAGTAACGCGAAAGCAATGCATCTTTGTGGTTTGAACGTCTAGGTCGGCTACAGAGCCCTCGGTTCAAGGGTAAACATCCGGAATGTCAGGTTTAGGCTTACAAACCTTCTGACTGATCCGGGCTTTTCCAAGGAACTCCCTGAGAAATCCGGATTGCACGGAAATTTATCCTGGCTATCCGACTGGCATGGAAACTACCCATGCTGGAATTGCAGCCCTACCCCCACATCCCCCCCGATTCCTTCGCAACCCTGACCTATTTTCCACGCAATCTGAAGGTGCGATCCGTGGAACTTTCACAACTACGGAAGTGCAGGGCTGTCAGACTATCACAACCCCTTAGTAGCACCTTAGCCAGGCTGCGCACTGTCCCTCTAAGTTGTACGCATTTCTGTCGCGATGGACAAGGAAAGTGTCGACCTTGGTGTGGTGATGAGGGACAGCAGCAGCAGCAAGTGCGTGTTTTGTATTCTTTTCTATCGTTTCTTCCAGCGATGTTCTTCCTGCTTGTATTCGAAGTGCCCACAGGTTCCGCTGATATGTAGGGAGTCCCAAAAAATACTCTGAATTTCAGACTGAAAGTCTAAGTAATCCTGAAATGATAGATTTTCCAGGGAATGCTGATCGCGTTCTGAAGTTTGTCCAGGTGCATTTTTAGTCGACTCAAGAAGCTTGTAGGTACTGCTAAGATCGCGTTCCGAAGTTTGGCCATCCTACTCGCCACGTAAGGACGCGTTACAAGTTGGACCAAGATGGAGATTCGCAGTTTCGGACGAACAGCGCGTTCGAATGCCCCTGTCGGGAGTTTGATCGCGAAGAGTCAAAATACAGGTAGTGAAGACGGGGGATCGAAGATGTACCCAACCGCGGTTCGTCCATTGTCGATCAAGATGCAAAATTCGCGCGACGGGAATCTGGCGACAAAAGCGAATTGACGAAAATCCACATGGTTGCACAGCCAGCTCCGCAACCGAACTGCACTCACTTCCACGCACACAATTCCAATTGACTGTGCGACGCGGCGAAAAATGCGGGGGAAGTTTTCGTCTGCATACATTCGCCACGATCGGCATGTGCCGAATTGGTACTTTTGTTGTTGGGGACGAACGTAGGGGTCAAGATATCACGACGTGCGTTTGTCCTGGCGGGAGCGAAAAATCGTGGCCTCTTGACCGCGTTAATACATTTGTGTGGTGGAGAGAAGTTACAATAGGGTAACCACATTGGAATCTTAAACGTTCAAAACTTGAGCCCCTCTTGGTCCAACTTTTAACGCATCCTAAGCGAAAGTCTTGCCAAACTTAGAGGTTTTGGTTGGCAAAGTTGTGGTAGGTGAACTTTGGCCAGCCCCGAAGCGGAAAACTAGGGGCAATTATAGTCTAGGTCACTGTTTTTGCCTCTCTAACAGACCTAGTCAACCCTGTCATGCGGACGAGAACTTTTTCCGAAAGAAAACCCAGGCGCGTCACTCCGAAAACATGAGAGGTCACACCTTCTGGCAATTTCAAACACGAGAGGTCCCTCGCCGAAACCCCCGCCCGAACACCACCCGTTTTATTCCCTTTTCCAGCGTGCGCATATGTTCCTGCTATGATCCTAAATCCCGAATCTCACCGATAATGGTTATTTTCATTCGCCATTGGTTTTCCGCACGAGGGCCCAAATTTGTTTTATGATGGCAAAAATTGTGTGACGCTATCAGTGTTTATTACGTTGATAGATCGCTGAGACGTATATTACACTACATGAATTATCATGCATCCCATCAATTAACTAGTATTTTTTACACATTTCCTGGTGTTTTGTTGTACTTTTCGTTGTATACGTTGATGGGCCAGCCTAATATCGAATGTTGGCACAGCATTGGTTACCCGCATGAATCATGAAATGTTTTCCCTTGGAACAAGAAGAAATAATGGGTAATTTTTTTTATAATCATGTGCTGCTTGGTTGATGGTATTGTGTAATATACGTCTTCGCACATTATCATACTAATAAACACTGATAGCATCACACAATCTCTAACGTTGTAAAACAAATTTGGGCCCTCCTTTGTGCGGAAAATCAATGGCGTATGAAAATAACAAATATCAGATAGATTCGGAATCGAAGATCGTAACAGTAAAAAATGCGCGCTCGGGAAAAATGAGCGAAACGGATGTCGTTCGGGCGGGGGTTACGGCGAATGACCTGTCGTGTTACAAATTGCCAGAATGTGTGACCTCCCATGTTTTCGGAGTGACGCGCTGCGGTTTTCCTTTGGAAAAATGTGCTCGTACGCTAGGGCTCTTACAACCAAAGATAGGAAGCTCGAGGCTGTTAACAAGTGGGTTTTAAGGCTATCTCCTTCTGGTTGGGTTGTTGATGAAGGCTTCGGTGAATAAGAGTGGAGCATTCACAGTTTGACGACTGTTCGTGCGCCGGGCAGGATGGTGCTGCTTTTGTGGCTTGGTCGACGTTACATTTCTTTAACGTGGCCAGCCAAGTATGCAGAAACCAGGTTTCGCCCTTGGTCGCAGCTGTTCATGGACCCCCGTCGCACGAATTCAGGTCGGCAAAGTGTGGTTGGCTAAACTTCGAGTCGCACGACTAAACATTGCAATGTGCAAATCCGACGTAGCGAGTCGGTTGGCTAAACATTCAAGGTCGGCCAAACTTCAGAACGGGCCTAAATAGGAGTCGCCCAGTCAAAATCTCCCACTCTCTCTGCCTCAAGTTGAGATGAAACATTTCAGGCAGCGAGTGGAGGTGAAGTGAGGAGGAGTGGAGAACCCAAAATGAAGTTCACCTAACCTGCGTCATTTTCTAACCCAACATCTTATCGAGACGCGAAACACTTGCGCAAACGACGCGCTACAATAACACATACGACAAGTCCTAGTTGCGCAATCGACCAGCTATAGTTCAGAAAACGACAAATTACAGCAGAACGAGAAAATAGCGAGGTATAAGTGTTAAATTATATATTTGACATATATAATGGTAGGCTTGATAGGTGTTACTGGATTCTACTGTAGAGGGTACAACCCCCCCTTCTTGTATCCCTCTCTCTTCTATTCCAACACTCTTCTCTTTCGTAACTTTCTCCTAGCCTAAAACCTCTCGCCATTCATGGCGTCTCCTCTTCCTACCTAGCTAGCTTGTGACATGGTTTCAGAGCAGGTTGCTCTTCTTGGGCCTGCTTATCACTCTTCCGCCGCGCACTCCTCTCCCTCTCGCGCTGCCATGGCGGCCGCGTCGTGCTGCTGTGGCGGCGTCATGGCGCCGCCGGCCGCGTCATGCTGCCGCGGCCGTCTCGACGCGCTGCCGTGGCGTCGCGCTGTCATGGCGTCGACGTCAAGCCGTGGTGGCGCCGTCGACGTCAAGTCGTGGCGGCGTGACGGCGCCGTCGTGCTGCAGTGGCGACGTGCTGCCAGCGCGCGTACGGCACGGACGGCAGAGGCTAGCCCCCCGTCTTAACAATGGCCAGTACGCCCGCATGCAGCCAGAGCGCCACATGGGGCGGCACGCTCCCTGGCTCCGATGCTGAAGCCCCGACCCCTTCCCCTGCGTCACCTCTTCCTCGCCGCAGCCGACGGCTGACTCGCGCCAGTTGTCCCACCTTCGCAGAGCCCGGCCACGCCGCCGAAAGCTGCGAGCTCCGCCGCCGCCGGCAGCCGTCGTCGAAGCCGTCAGCTGGTGCCGATGGCCACGCCGCCGCCGCCGCCGCTGTCGACGCTGCCGCCGTCGCCGCCGTTGCAGCCACTGCCCTCGCTGTCGACGTCGCCGCCTTACGCGCCGAGGGGCTGACCCTGCTGGAGTGGCTGTCGCTGCTGCTGAGTATGGGGGTGCTAGGCTTAGGGGGTGTGTGGCTTAGTGTGATGTGTGTGTGGTGGGCTTTCAGCTACCAAGCGTAGGGGGTGTGTTAAATTATATATTTGATATTTATAATGGTCGGCTTGGTAGGTGTTACTGGATTATACTGTAAAGGGTACAACACCCCCTTCTTGTATCCCTCTCTCTTCTATTCCATCACTCCTCTCTCTCGTAACTTTCTCCTAGCCTATAACCTCTTGCCATTCATGGCGTCTCCTCTTCCTACCTAGCTAGTTTTTGACAATAATTGTAGATGAGAAGAAATGATAAATGAGGAAAAAAAAAAAAAAAAAAAAAAAAACGAGGAAGCGACAGATATATACCCAAATCAAACCGAATCCGACAGAAATGCACCAAACATTTCGCGCCAATGAGAGGCGAAATTCTTGTGCGCCTGCTGTCAGCTGTTTCGGACTGACGTGTAGAGTTGTACATTCGCGACAAAACTTTACAGAAAATTTATTGCGCTGCAATTCGACAGAAAATGCCAAACTGGACAATGACATTTCGGGCAGTGTTTTGGGCAAATAAATAAACCCTGAACTCGCGGCCCTTTTTCGAGTTTAGGGTTGATGCCACCCCGAGTCAAATGCTGGGCCCCTATGGGTTTATTGTTTTGTCGCCTGCGCAGAACTACTGTACGTTTACATCGTCCAACATGTGACTCTCTATGTCAGGTTTGGGTGATTCTACAGAAAATCGCTGATTCGACCTAGTACACCTGTCCCGCACTATTTTCTCATTCCGCTGTAGCTTGTCATGTTCTGTAATATAGCTTGTAGATTGCACAACTGGGACTTATCGTATGTGCTTCTGTAGCTCGTCGTTTGCGCAAGTTTTGCGTGGCTCGAGAAGATGCTGAGTGAGAAAATGGTGTGGGTTAGGTGTAGGACGAAAACCATAAGCTAATAAGCAATTCACTTATAAAAGCTCACCGTCGCCGCCTACAGTGCTTGCATGATAGGCGGAGGCGAGGGTTGGAGAGTAGGAATTGGGTGGGAGACGGTAGGGTGCCGCATGTGCGACCGACAGGTGCCGACCAGGAGAGGCTCGGGCCACGGTTGGCTCGGTGGCAACTCTTGCGGACCTGGCAGGCAGCACAACCGGCTGGTTCAATGGTCATTGCGGGGCCCCTACCGTTGCAGTGGGACGGGCAGCAGACGTCGCGGGTGGGTGTGCACCAGCAACAGGAGGACAACGGGTGCCAGGAGCAGTTGGCGGGGGGGCAGCACAAGCAGCAGGCGAGCGGGCAGCCGTCACCGCTAGAGGGCAGCTCGTGGACATTTTCTGCCATGAGATAGCAAGTGCCGCA